TCATACATTGCCACAGAAGAAATGAATTTCCTGGAAAAGACTAAACAATGTAACACACACAGGAATATAAATAAGATTAATGCTATCTTGTGAGTTATCAATGGGATGTGTTCCCTGAACATTTTAGCACCTTATATATTGCAGTATTTTCATAGAAAAAGCAATTACATAAGACTAGTACAAAAATATGATTATCAATACACATCATTCGCTCAGAATATCACAATGCCCATAGTATAGTTGCTTGATTTTCCTTTGACTGAGTGCGCTATATTTAACCGAGTATTGTAACCCAGTGTGATGACACTTTTTAAAATTGTTCTTGCTCCTAAAGAAGGAAAAAAGTTAAATCATTTCAATAGGATTCATCTTCAATTATCTAAACAGCAGACCGGGGATGGGGCAGTGAATATGCTGGATTGCTTAGGTCTCTGGCCTGGGTATACTATCTATCTCTAAAACAAAACTCTAGGCCAAAACCATATACTCTCGTGATCTCAAATATGTCCTGTCTTATGCTTATAGGTGCAAGAATTCTCTATGTACACAGCACAACAACCTTCTTACCCTGAAATCATAGTAATTGTACTCACATATTTGATAACTATATTGGCTACTGAAATTCTGCTTCTCAACTCATTTTTACTCCCCAGGCTATTGATTGGACAGTGAAGGAGCAGCAGCACACTGATGAGGTAATTTCAGTGTTCTCCCCTCAATGTATGTATGTTCAAAGTATTTGACAGTAATGCACAAAGCGGTAAAGCTCTGACTGGCTCAGAGTATTGCCTCCCATATCCCAGTATGAGTGCTACTATACAGGGCATAACAGGAGGCTAATACAAAAAATAGATTCAAGTACTTTTATCAGCTGCATGCAAACATTTATATAACAATTCCAAATGGATCAAAGAGATTTTTTTCATTTTCCAGGAGTTTCACTTTAAGGACACTACCGTACTTATGTTCATTTAAGAGTACTGCTCTATCAGAATGTAAGCAGAAGCGATTACTGCAATAATCCTTCTCAGGGTGTTTTGTGGCAAAGCATAGAAAGTAAAAGCATGTGGGAAATACAACCACAAAAAATACTAACTACATAGAATAAAACAATGAACACCATCGTGTTTGGCTTCTGCTCAGATTCACCTATTCCAATGCTAATTTCTGGTCTCTAGCAGTATTAATATTTTGCACTTATCTGCAGGGTGCACTAATCCAGGCTCCCTTGCCCTCTCATGCTCAGTTATGAAATAATCATCACACTTCAACTTCACAAACACCTAAGAAAGATAACTGCAGACATAAAGTTGAAGATGACCCTGTCTGTGGCCTTATTTAACTCTATGGGGGTGATTTACTAACCTAAACACACACACACACCAGGTGTGTGTGATTTTCACACAGCAAAACGTATTTATCAACCAAAAAGTCTCTAAAAGCATATTTCCACTAATGCCATATATGGAAAAATCATGCACATGATGCATATATAATGCTGCTTCACAGTTTAGACAAAAATGGTTAGCTCATGCATTTACATTCCTGCATTCATCAACGCAAGCAACATAACATAGAGCTAATTTACACCACATTACCTTGCAATTCATTGCAGGGCTTTGCACAACACACCTGCTGGGTGTGTACACACTACAAAGGTGTTTCGATTCCTCCCATAGATCATGCTGGGAGGGAACACACTACAGAGGTGTATACACGTTCGTGGTGTGTTTAAAAGGTTAGTAAATCAACCCCTATGGCTGCTTATTCTTGATACATAGCAGGATAAGAAATGCATTAGAAGGCTGTAACAAAAGCTAGGTGCACTGCAGCTTTCTTGCTAAGGTAGGTGTGCAGCTAGCATATATTTATTTGATAATTGTGTCTAGATGGGCAGGGGAGGGTGGTTTAGTGCAGTTTGCATGAAAGTGCACATATATTAGAGGACCAGTAAAGCAAGAAGTTTCTTCATACTAAGGTTACTGATTCACAAATATGAACAGAGTGAACTCGGTGGAATTAATTAACTGCATAAGCTGCCAACATTTTCCTATAAGATAGGAAGATAAGATAAGATGGTGCTGGAGTAAATGGTTCTGTTCCTTTCAAACTGCATTATTTTATTTCTGTTTAATGTTGTTATTCTATCATAAATATCCCGTGATCCTCCCAGTACGTAACACTTCCTTCATCAGGGTGACAATGCAGATTTAATCACCACAGCGTTGTCATCCTATTAAGTTTGGGGCCATCACACAGGCAAATGAGGAGGGTTCTCAGCGGTTGCCAACGCTGCTCCACAAGAGCTACAAGGTTCCCTGTGCTGTGTCTGTAGAAATAAATACAGGGAACCCTTTTCCACCCCTCCTCTTGGGTTTGGCAGGCAGAGGAAGGCTGAAGCCCCTGTAATGGCCTGTGGTGGCCTTACAGGGACTATGAAGAGGGTTACCGCAGCAAGTATCAAAATAATGAGCCAGGGTAGAAGATTATGCAGTCTTTCAGGACTATAGGTGGACTTTCAGTTCTGATGTGTTCCTAAAACCATTACCTAGTTATGTATGATAGTTAATCAAAACTTTTTTTTTGTTTTTTTTGCTCACATCAGTGTTTATGTCCATTTTAGCGACATGGCCTCATTTGTTTAATGTTATTAAAATAGTAGACGTTGTCATGAAACGCTCATTGAAGAAAATCCTTTAAAAAGGCAATTGAGTGGTGACATAGTCTATGAGTCCTCAAATAACATTACATAAACACACTAGTAATGATATAACTATTCTGAATGTGTTAAAATCATGTATTACTGGCAAAAGATTTATTATATAGATTATAAAATAAGTATTTGGTTATAAAGGGCATTATTTTATTAGGAAAAAATATTTGCAAGGTAAATCCCTCTAATAAAACATGTATTGCCACTGACTCAAATCGGAAGGAAAATGAAGCAACTTCTTCCTGCAAAAGATGGAATTGTGAAAAGCAAATGAAACCAACACCGTGATATTGCACCTTGTTTATGCATTAAAGATAAAGCAATATGTTTTAAATCACATACATACCTGCAAATGGAATTCTTAAAAAAGCAACCGTCCCCAGCACATGCAGTAATAAGTCTGGATTTTGCCTTAGAATCCTGCTGAAACCCTGCTAATATTTATTGGATGAGTGTTTTATCTCTAGAACTGAAGCTAGTTATCCATCAATGGAGATTACAGTGCCTAAACCTTTTCACAAACTGAATCTTTTTAGATGTTGAAAATGGTGGTAATTTTCAAGCGCCATAGAGATTCAAATATTTTCTTAAATAACTCTTTGCATTTTAAGGGCAAGCTAAAATAATTGTTATGTCATATTTTGTCATTCCAAAGGTCTTTATGTCACCAAGGTAGATGTTCATAATCAGATTGTGTGGAGCAGGGATTTAACCTCTTGCTGGGTTTCAACTGCTTTCGATGCCTCGGCTGAGAAAATTCCTTTCATCCCACCTCTGACAATAAGGGTCAGTGCTTGGTTGTATGCCTGCCATTCTGGCTCCTTATCTAATGTACACTATCCATATTTACTTTAGATAGCTAGTTACAAGACAAGTGCATCAAGAATAATTGACCATTTCATTGCTACCAGACTCCTAATGGCTTCTCCATAGGAATATATAGAGTATGCACTCTAGAAATGGCAACCAGGAAGTTTGACTCAGCCCTGACTGTCCTACCTCAATCTAGTGAGTGGTATGACCCATACTCAGCTCCACCAAAAAATAACCTAAAGCTAAAGGACTCTAAACATTTTCCGTCCGTGGATTAAACATGTAACTATTATGTGGATACCATTTATTCTAACCACAACTAAGTTGCGTAAGTTTGATAGCAATTACCCGAATGACATAAAGACTTTTAAGACAAATAAATTGATTATGTAGTAAAATCTGCAAAACTACTCATGCAAATGAACACTGCTAATAGTGAAAACAAGTTTAATTACAGCTCTGTTATGTGGCTGCCCAATTCTAGGCTTAAAGTGACACTAAACTCAGGAATTAAATCCTAAAAATACATTCAAGTACTTTAACTATTAACAAAAGTGTACCTTATTTGTGTATCACTCAGCTGTAGATCCTCAAATCATCTCTGAATTCATACTGGCACTGACCTTCCTTCTGGAGGGTGGCTGCTTTTGTTCCCCATGGTCCCTGTGTGTGTTGTAAAGTAGCCACTGCACGAAGCTCACTCCTGTGATGGACTATGACTTCAATACAAATTAACTGGCTAAATGTGAGATTGTAGTCTATCACGAGCATCACTGGTGTCCCGTCAAAGCCCCCCCCCCCCTACATATTTAGTTTACTAATTTGTATTGGGTTTTTAGTCCATTACAGGAGTGAGCTTGGAGTGGTGGCTACTTTACAGCAGACACAGGGACCATGGGCAACAAAAATAGCCACCCTCCAGAAGGAAGGACAGTGTCAGCATGAATTCAAAAGTGATTTGATGATCTACAGCTGAGTGATGCACAAATATGACACATTTTTGTTAATAGTTAGGGTACTTGAATTCATTTTTAAGATGTAACTCCTGAGATTAGTGTCAAGATAATAATTTAGTGTATATTGGGTATAATTACGATAAAGTACAGGAAGTATGTTTGAGCTATATGCATGATTATTGAGCAAGTTCAATTTTTTGTTAGTCAGTTGTAAAAACTGGCTTATAATGAATAAAATGTCATCCGTAAGTTTTTGACTTTTAAAAAGATGAATTGAATAGAGTAAATTGACTGATTGTGGCAAAATCAGTGATTAAAAAGAAAATAGAATGTAATATATTGATAGGCACATATTTTCAGTTATAATGTACTTTTGTATAACATCCTAATTTCCTGAGATCAGTTGGGTTAAGAAAAGAGCATTGATGATATACATGGTGCAGTAACACAAAGCAACCAGTTTTCAGTTCTCTGCTCAAGTCAGTTAAGAGATGATTGATGTGTGGTTGCAACAGTCTGCTGCACTTTGCACCACATCATAGCTCCCTGTGCTGATTTACTGAGTAAGCCCAATAATGTTGAAACAAACCCACATTACTTTGACTGTAGAAAGAAGAAGGTTGCAGTAAACTAAGGCATGTAGTTCCCATTATAATTTCTTCCTCTGACATAACAAAACTTCTTGAAGGCTCTAGCAATTCATCTTTATGCAATAAAAATTGCTTAACTTTGATCTGTGGGCAGGAAGTTTACGAATTCGCAACAAGGCATGAGGTCCATATCATCAGTTCTGACGTCTTTCACTGTCATCCAGCAGTGATGAAAAGATATCCAAGGTCTCGTATCTTTGTTGCTGTTGACGTTTCAGTTTTGTGTTCCTAGAGTTAACAGAGCCTAAATTGTCCTGGCCTGAGCCTGGCTCTCCGAACGCTAGTGTGTCTAGAAAAAAAAGGGCAAATGCTTTAATTAAATAGGCATCATCATCACACTTAATATGTGTATCCTAGCTTGGGGGTGGAGTCATGTGGGAAGTTAGCTAAGCAGGCCAACTTTTATTTCACTTTGTCTGGAACCAAGCCCTTCCTGAGCATTCTTAGGTTTTTCTAGGTTAGCTATCAAATATGCACCCTATAGGATATCCTAAATCTATACCAGCTTAAAGAACAACCATCTCCACAACAAGTTAGGAGCAAACAATGCATACATTCATAAACACCAGGCTCTGGACTCAATCCCCATCTTCACATCAATGAATATGTACATTGTCTGTGAAGGTTCTCATTCATCCAGGGCATGGTATATCTGTAAAAAATAAGGCAAGGCAGCTGGAAATGCTGTATTTTTCTTGAAGACGTTTCACTGGTCATCCAACCAGCTTTCTCAATTCAGAATTACTTGTACAAAAAATTATCTGGGAATAAATTTGGTAAATGTTGCTCCAATCCACATAATCTGTTAGTCGCAACCAGGTGTTGATTACATTTGCATAATTGGAGCTATTAACCTTCCCAGAGAGAGGTGTGAAAACAGCATTGTATGCAGCAGACAATGTATGTCTCACTCCCCCCCCCCACCTCTATTCAAGCTTGGCTTCTTTCACACCTCTTTTAAACCAGTCCTCTCCCTGTCTAGGATGCGTACTTGACTGTCTTCAAAGGAGTGACCTTTTTCCTTTAGATGTAGGTATGCTGCCGAATCTTGACCAGAGGGTTTTGCTCTTCTATGGCATATGGCACAGCATAGAAGAGCAAAACCCTCTGGTCAGGATTCGGCAGTATACCTACATCTAAAGGAAAAATGTAACTCCTTTGAAGACAGTCAAGTATGCATCCTAGATAGAGAGGAGGACTGGTTTAAAAGAGGTGTAAAAGAGGTGTGAAAGAGGCCATTTATGTACAAATGTAGAAGCCAAGCTTGAATAGAGGTGGGGGGGGGGGGCTCTATTGTCTGCCACATACAATGCTGTTTTAACACCCATTTTCTGGGCAGGTTAATAACACTTCCTAGACTCCAATTATGCAAATGAAATCAACACCTGGTTGCGACTAACAGATTATGTGGATTGGAGCAACATTCACCATATTTATTGCCAGATAATTTTTTGTACAAGTCATTTTGAATTGACAACGCTGGTTGGATGACCTGTGAAATGTCTTCAAGAAAAATACAGCAAGTCCAGTTGCCTTGACTTATTTTTTACGAATATATACATTCTGTTTTTATGCTAATATACAGGTGTTCTATTTTTCTACCAACAATGCAATACCCCAAATGGATACTAAAATATTTAAAGTGTACTGTGTATACAGATGTAACCAAAATTATTCAACCCCCAATGCAAATCAGGTTTATGGCAAAATATAATAATAATTTTGAGACTGCAGAAGTCATTAAAAGTTGCATTTTCAGTTAAATTTGGGGAAACCACTTGAAACATTTGTTGTGTTGACCTATTCCAATTGCTTCTGTTTGATTTGTTCATTGCAAACAACTGAAAATCTGTACATTTTGCCAATCAACCTGATTTGCAATGGGGGTTGAATAATTTTGATTATAACTGTATAGCCTAAACTTTCTTTATGTTTTGGGTAGAGTAGGGAAGGGTTAGAACCAATTTTATTGCTCTCTGGGTACCTACTGGGGAAATTCACCCTCTCTATTTGTCCTGGGAGCCATTGCCACTGGGACAGAAAATTAATTTTACAGTTGTCATCAGAATGTAAAGGTGAGGGGAAAAATTCCTTTGGGGAGCCTGTTCTTGTAACAACTGCCTTTGAAGAGATTTTCTCTTGCACTCTGTTGTATCTCCAGAACAGGAAGTGAAGGGAAATCTCCCAATTGGGATAAAGATAAAATATTAAACTGACAAAGGTTTGCCTATACACAGGATTCTACTTTTCCTGTCCTCACTGTGCATGTGTCTGTAGGACTATAGCAGTGAGGTTTGGACATTAGATTGTAAACTCTTTTGAGGGCAAAGAACGTCAAGAATGGCCTATATACTCTGTAAATGGATGCAGGATTTCCCCATATAAATGATAAAAATAAATGAAAGATAAACTTTAATATGCTTTGCGTGGGTGCATGTTTGAGCTATCATATTTAACTGAAGATAATTACGATGAGACATTTCATGATTTTTATTGCTTGCTTTTCCACATTTTGAATCTTGTACATTTCATACATACATCTATAAAAGTTTCTTCTAGTGACCATTGCATGTTCAGTGAAAACTACATTTCAAAATGACCAGTAAATCCCAAAATGTAGGCCATTTAAGTTATATGCAAATCTTGCAGCACTCCCTATTAGTCCTTTAATGTGACTGACTGACTAACTGACCAACAGTGAAGCAGGAGGGTGAAAGGCCAAAAGCAAGTTTTGGAGAAAAAGTTAAAAAAGTTTCCTTATATGCTCACTTTGAATTTACAAGGTCAAAGCAGACTTTAGATCAAATGTTAGGTCCACTTTACTCAATAAATCCTCGGATATAGTGGGAGCAGGGAAAATAATATGAGTATACATGTACATGTAACGCTAAACAGCATGTCCACCCGTGCTCCTATTTGGGCCACATGATCCATAGTCAGCACGTTCAGTTATTTTTCCCACAGCAGTTCTGCAATGTTGGCGATGTGACAATAGCCATAGCAGCATATATGAGAGGGGGCCCCATTAGGCAGGTTGTTGAGGCAATTAAAAATAGAAACAAATGTGTGCATGTAAAGATAACACATATCACACACGTCCTTGTAGTTTTGAGGGTTGGAGAGATCTCCACTGACATTGACCCTGTACCCCTGTGTAGTCTTTAGTTTAGAAGAGCTGATATCAGACACACGAGGAGCCTTGTCACAAATCCCTTTTTATAGAGTTTTAAGAAGATTGTATGCGGCAAGGTTCACACTCAGGCGGTTTATCGCGTGGCTAAATCCGCCTGATATCGCACAAAACAGAGATTTGTATTCAAGTCTATGGAAGCTGTTCACACCTTTGTGATTTGTTGTGCGGTAGAAATTGCCTGTCGCGCAAAAGAGTGCAGGAGCTATTTTCGGGCAGTTGCCGCAAAGTTTTCAAAGCAAAAGTGTACACACAAAATCGTGCACAACAACCGCACGAAAACAGCTCACCAGCTCAATCGCCTAGGTGTGAACCTAGCTTTACTGTTACAGAGTAATTGTGTGCAAGAGCAGTAACAATAATATAACAATATTAAATATCCCATCAAATTTTTGCTATGGGACCCAACGATCTCTAGTGAAACTCCGGGTGGCTAAAAATCCCTGTTTAGCTTATCCATTATTTCTTTGGTAAAGATATTAACATTAGACATGTGCACCAGCAAAAAATTCGTTTAGTTTAGTTTCGTTTTGAAAAAAAAAAAAAATTTGTTTAGTTTAGTTTACCAAAACGAATTTCGGAACGAACCGAATCGCACATGTCTAATTAACATGCAAATATGTTTTTTGTTGTGATGGTTATACTCACCATGTATTCCTATCATGTGCTCCAAAATTAACACTCGTTCTGCTAAAATCTTCATTGCTTCTCTAAGTTGCTGTACGGCTTCACTCTATGGGAGGAATTTTTGAGTTAATAAATCAAAGAACTGAGTTTAACCAAACACAGGAAAAAAACACGTGTAATATATTGAAGTTTAAAAGTCCTTAAATGTGGTGACTGCATTTGTTTTAATTTTTCAGGGTAAGAACATTTTTAGCAAGTACAGAAAATAGCAGTTGATCTTGCTAGAAATGCAGTACCCTCATCTCAATCTGTGAGATGAACCAGAAGTAAAAACACTGTGTTTTCCTTCTTGTGTAAACTATTAATCCCATCACATCTAGTGTTTCTACTGTGAGTGCCATACACTGCCAGAATTGCAATAGGTTTTCAGTGTCACTGATGGCAAACCAGGCACTGTAAAATGACTGAGAAAGGAGAGGTAAATAAGATAAAAAACTACAGCATTAGCTGCAGAGGTCCATAAAGCATATATAAACTCCAAAACAAAAATGTAACATATTGCAGCTTACCAACCCTTTTGAGGAGTATCTATTTACAATTAGAAATTGACAGGCTGTAGTCTGCCTGTTGATAGTTTGGCATTTTAGGGTCTCTCCTAAGCTGTACTGGGAGAGGATATAAATATTTGGGGAGAGACCTTGGGAAGTCAGTCTTTCCCGGGCCCCCTGCCTGGGTAGGGGATGCTGTGGATTGTCTGATCCTCCTAGGCTTTCTACCTGTGGAAGGTGACGTGCTTGGACTGAGGCCTGGGTTCAAGGCCTAGCGTGTGAAACTTGTGGATGGGCAGGACATGGGGGAACATCAGCCAGAATAAAGAGCCTAAGCTTGGTCCTTGACTGAAGTATTGTGATTTCTCCCCAAGTAACCGGTAGCTGCAATATCTAGCATCTTACTGTCAGGAGCTAAATTTACAGACTGCCAGTTTGGCTTAAAGATTTATTATCTTTTAAGACTGTGAGTAATTTTGTCCTCTTTTTGGACTCTGCAAGTCCATGGGTGTCCTCTGCCCTAACCCTTTTTTCCAAAGTTATTAAATAAATTCCCTGCAAGAAAAAGATCAGCAGCATGGAAGTCAGTTAATCTGTCACCATTGGTGGGTCAGAGAGTGGTTAGGGGCAACTATTGAACAGTGTGCCCTTGACAGGTTATGTGGGCCTGATTCATCCAGTAGCTTCTTAGGGGGTAAGAGCCACACTACCACAAACAAATCAGAAAAATACACTTACATCTTCTCCTTTATGTCCTTCTTCTCCTTTCATGCCAGGTTCCCCCTAATGAAAGATGCAGCAACATAATACAACATAAAGCAGTTAGCATACATATTACATAATTACATAATTTTACAAATTTGAAGTTGTCTCACTTAGGGGTCTATTCACAAAGCTGCCGAAGGATCTGGCCGTAGCTTCGGCCGATCCTTCGGCTAGCTTCGGCACCAGGACCCCTTCGGTTCAGGAGAACCGAGGGGGTGCTGTACAGCTATTCACAATAGCCCGTACAGCTCCCGATCACGGCCGAGCGGCTCAGTCGAGCGCTGAGCCGTGCTGAAAGACGAAGCAGGCCGAGCGGCCGGCCATTGGCCGGCCGACAGCCTGCTCCTGACAGCTGGGTGGAGCCAGCC